GACTTTTTCCTCGAGACCTTCCACAGCATAGCACAACCTAGTAGCTGTCTCATCAAGCGCATCCACGCGCTGTTTCGTAGTACCTTTCTTTTGAGGCTCTACCACTTCAGTGGTGTGTGATGTAATTGGATCCATAGCTTTCTTATCGAGGGTCGTGAGCTGCAGCTCTGATACCAACTTTCACGGGGTGCCTTTCTTCTTAGCACAGAAAGGGACACCGTGCGGTAGTAGTCTGCTCCGCTAGACTACCTTCCGCCTTTTCTCGGTCGCGTCAGGACGAAAGAAAATTTGATTGCAATTTTGTAGAAAGCTTACAATTGAGAATTTGAATACATTGAAAGTAAATTGAACATTGATTGATGAAAACTGAACATTACAATTGATGAAAGCAGAAAATTACAAATGCTGGTGCAGGGGGCGGACACTAGTGAGCTTGAAAGATTTTTGAATGACTAATACCCCCTATAATAGCATTCTGAACAAAAACCCAAGTGACGGGAGTAGACGTTTAAAAGACGAGGAATCATACTAATCTTTTACCAATATCAGAGCTATTTTACAATTAAAATAACTATTACAATGAAACGAAAATTACAACTCAAACTTGAAGTAATATTTACAATGTGCGGCCGAAGTTGGGCAAACTGCGGCTGCGATAGTGTTAAGGGGCTAAGTAAAGCTACAGTCCTTGACACCATGGCTCGATGGGCCGATTTTTGTTAAAAAAAAAAAAAAAGACAGTAAAGCTGCCTTTAAAATAAATAAATAAATAAATAAACCACAAAAAAATTGAGACGAGTCAGCTCGGTAAGGCACTAGGCAAAAGCTCGGGTCTAGCCTCTTAAACGTTTGGCTTGACTCGACTTAGCTTGAGCCAAGAAAAGTCCATCTTAATTTTACTCGAGCTAAGCTCTAGCCTCGATTTTTAGCTTGTGAGTCAGGCTCAACTTGACTCGTTGACATCACTAAGTTTATCTCATTTTTCATCTATTCTTCAAACTCTCTTTGCACCTGTGTAACCTGAACAAATTTGTGCATGTTGCTGCTTAGCAATATCAACTAAAAATATACTTATGAAGCCAAAATTCTAAAAAATGTAATGCTTGACGATGTGTGAAAGCCTAGCTTCGATTTATGCGAACTTAGGCGAGACCGATGCGTAAAAAGCTTTCTTATTTTAATATTATTTTAAAATTTTAATCAATTAAAAATAATTTAATAATACATACAAATTATAGTAACAAATACAGTTTTAAGGGCTTAATGACGTAAATATATTTTCGAACAATAAACAAGATATATTATAATGGTGCCAATTTAAATATATGAAGAGTTTTTAGTATTTATTAATTAGTAAAAGATAAAAATTAATTAATTAATTAATTTCATAAAATATAAATAACAATTATACAATAGTACTACACTTTACAGCCAAATCAAAACTACAATGTATGGTCAAACCATGATTCTAATCTCAAATCCAAGTTTATAACAAAATCTTTTCAGATACCCTCTATAGGTTAATGGACCAATAAGTTAAACAACATTTTGCACCTATCAATCCATTGAAGTAAAAGTTAAGTTTCTATTTGATTTCCATTTTTCTCCCTCTTTTTTGTAATCACACATTTTTCATCAAAATAGTACATGTAAATAAAATTTTTCCCCTATTTTTCATCCATACATTTTTCATCAATCTACTATACTAAAATTCATTTTTTCATAAAAATGGGTGTCGAACACCCTCTAAAATAATTATAATTATTAATTTTTGAACCTTTGAACCCAATTGACCTAAACGTGGAAAACTTTATGTAGTAAAAAAAAATAATAATAAATTAAAAAAAATATTATTAATGTGTGTCAAAGCGCGCCTATGAACGGTGTGACATCCCAAATTTTCTAGTAAAGATTTTTATATTTTAGAGAGTTTGTTTTTAATTTTAGGAACTTAATTTTATGATAGAATAAATGTTATTAGGGATTGTAATTAAAATAATAATATGAGTATTGAAAATGCAATTTTATAATTGCATATTTGCCCAAGGGTTAAAGGTGCAATTTTATAACCAATAAAAAATAACACATTTTATGTTTTTCACAATTAAGCCCTAACAAAATCTGTAAATAGGGGATACTTGTGAGATTTGCCATACCTTGTCTCCCATCATTTTCACTTCTTAAGGTATGTATTTTTTTAAGTTAATTACTTTGAAAATATTTTTTAGTTAAATTATTTATTTAGATAATTATTTAATTTATTATTTATGTATTTATTTTAAGTACCTAGTTGGTTTATAAATAGGAATTAAAATGTGTGATTTTAGGATTCTTTAATGGTTGATAAAAGATAATATTATAGTTAGTTTAATTAATAAAAATCAAGGAAGATAAATTATAATTTTTCCATTTCAAAACCTTAACTTTGAAAATTTTAAAATTTATAAATTATTTCAAGATATATTGAGTTTTAGTTTATTTTGCTTGCATTATTAAAGATTGTATAAAATACATTTGGGGGAAATGTAGTAAAGATGAAGTGAGTAGGGATAGAAAATAACTTGGTATAATAGTTGTCAATATCATCATGATAATGGTTATGAAAATTGGGCCATTACTATATTTATATATATAGGATTGGTAAATTTAAATGGAAAAAAAGAAAACAATTAGTACTTGAGGCTTAAGCTTAAATTACTTTGATCTAGTTATGTGATAAGATATGAAGAAAAATTGCTGTAATGCGTAGTGTCAATGGTAAGATATGATGGAAATGAGATAAAGAAGAATATGGATTGAATAAGAAATTTACTAATGGGTATGAATGTGTATATATATACTTGTGTTAATTGAAATGAAAAATGGATCAAGCATGAAATGAGAAAGTAATATGGTAGTATGTTGGCTAACTTAAATTGTACATGTAATAATCTTATGAAATTTAGTTAATGACGATAACGTTAATTTCATTTATATTATTATTATTATTATTACTACTACTAGTAGACAATAAGTTATTACCATTATTTTTATTAGGGGTATGCTATTAAATAACCTATATTATCTTTTAAGTTTAGTTCAAATGTGATAATTGAAAAATAATAAGATAAGATATGATTAATATAGAGGTTATTGTATTAAATGCAGACATCGATCAAGGAAGTCGTGAAAAAGGTTAATATGATATTTTTCAACTACAGTACAAAATACATTAGTATATGTAATTATGTGTTTATATGTGCTTGTCTCTTTTTACTATGTAACATGGTAGCATGTTACATGTGCATTGAGTTTATTTGGAAAACGTATGTATGATTACGTTTTCAAGATCATGCGTACTTTTGTTATCATACTGATTGAGTTACAGTTGAAAATTTTGAATGTGAATCTCATTATAAATGTATCGTACTATTGTGTTCAAATAACCATACCGCTTGAGGCTCCTGACGGTCATTAAGGGTAGCCAAGGATAGGGTATTGGGAGTTCGGTGCCTATATATATAGACGGTGTTAAGAGGTCCCTAGGTGGCCTTGGAACTGCGGATAGGCACTTGAAGTATTGTATTTATGTGTAGGCTGTGCCTTGAATTTGTTATATGATATACTAATGTGGCTTCTTGAGTCTCGGTGGGCAACGACAGATGCGTTGATATTGGTTTGCGTGCAAGAATAGCCATGTTAATTTTGAGCTCATACGGTACACTATAATAAAGATTTGGGCTCATATATGTTTGACATGCATCATCGCATCATCATATTTATTGAACTCTATGGTTCACGTTTTGTATTTTGTACTGTAGATGTCCTCGCGAGAAATTGAAATTGTCCGTACCACCGGACATGCCGAAATTACTAAGGACCTCATGACTATACATGTTATATATAGGCGTACTCACTATACACGTTTTTATACGATGGTTGATGAGAAGGAAGAGATTAAAACTTTTGAAGACGGTAAGAATTTTGTAATGGTGATGATTGATGTTTATGATTTGATCACTTGTCGTTATGTAAATACTATAATGTATATAAAGTAGACAAGGTGCCATTATGGAGGGAAAAATAAAAAAGCCTAGCAAGAGAGTAGTGAAAATGAAAGGATTTTGAGAAACTTTAACATACCATCAAATAGGAAACTTTTGAAAAATCAACAGGCGTTTCTTTTGATCAAAATTTTTGGTAGTCATATGACTAATGGGTTATGAGGTGTATTTTGTAAAACAAAATTCTATGAGATTCTTTTAACTCTTTATATTATTAATTTGATTTTCTTTGATGTATTATGAGTTTACTACAAAATGCTTACTTTGAGTTAAAAACAAATTGTTAAATCCTAATATGACCTTAATTTGAAAAAAATAATAAATAAATTAATTAATGAAATTAAGAGTAAAGCGTCTCAAACGGTCAATGCTTCTATTGAATCGCTATATCAGTGCACAGGTCCTAGGTGTTACGTTTTTCCCAAGCCTCACGACTTTCCGACGTCATTTGGAACAATGAATGACACGCAAATTTGGTAGAACTTTTGGCCTTGTATCGGAATTTTTACAAGCACATTTGTCGGGGCCTTCGGTGGTCTTAAGATTAAATATAGATCTCAAGTACATCTACTTGCAAGCTTAAAGGAGTTCCACCTTATTCACCTCTTTGAGCTGCATTGCATTGAGAAATAGGTTTGCTCCTCCACCTTCCAGCACCGGACAGGCATCTACCTCGATACATGGTCTTACAACTTTGCAGAGAACCTTCGAAATTTCAGGCCAAGTCCAATGTCCATTCATTTCACTACTAAGCTTCAACAAAATAAAATGGGCTAAACTCAAAATTGCTTCAAAACAACCCTTCAACAAGGACCAGACAGCCTATTGCACCAAGCAGAATTCGGCCCACTACATATACTAACAAATAGTGGTATCATACTAAACCAAAAGCAAATAACAAATAAAACAGTCCTATCCCATTTTATTTCAAGAATTTGTACGGTAAATTTAGGAGAATAGCATAATAATTAAAGTAGCATTGCACACGAATAAATTTCAGCTGTAAACTTCTTTAAACAGACTATATTTCCTCAATAAACCACAATCAGAAAATGAATAGGCACTTCGAAGTAACTACATAACTACATCAACAACTCTATCTTATATCCCTTATTGACAGAAATGGCTCTTCTTCAATCTATAATCTCAAAGGCAACACACTGTTATACCAGGTTACATCAGTTCGTGCCTTGGGGAGAAAAAATGTATTCTTCCTTCAGATGGGCACAAAGGGCACAAAGAGCTAGTCGGAGGCTTCACCTATTTCTCATTGACAAAACCTATTTGCTGCATACATTTCGTAGGCTGACCTGTGTAAATGCGGGCTGCCATCCATTAGACTTGCTTCCCACGAACTTCCCATTGGAGTTCCAGAACTATAAAGACCATGTCCAGAGCACCATTGAAACTCATATATAGATTGCTGAGGAGAATTTGTCCATTGAGTAGTCTCAAAACCTCGAGCCATCTCCCAAAACATACTTTGTAGTTCATCAACACTGTAGGTCTTACCCTGCGTCCAGAACGAGAATTACATATCCATTAGTCGAGAAGTTAAAAATCATAAATGCTTACTTCCCGATTTCTCTTATTACTAGCTAAGGACATGACCATAGATTTTCAGCAACTAATTAACTACTGATTATGGTACATAAAAGATGCTTACATAAGTTGATTTCTCAATGCTTTAACAAATCATAATCATAGAATAAGAAAACAAATGTATGCAAGGCGCTGCAATATCATCAAACTCTTGATGACAGAATAGATTATTATGTTTCATTTTCAGTATTTACTTGTGTGCATGAGCATTCTTAAAGATGAGCAGAAAACCAAACAAATCAGTTTCCAATTACATCTTCCCTTTTCTGGGTTAAACAGCTACTTGAATCCGCTTTAACTGCTCAGAATACATTGCCTGAATTTTAATAAAGACTAAAATGGTATCAAATCTTTATACATATAGAAGCAATTGGATTACAACCATATAAAGAATGAAAGCAATATTCAACAAGTTACAAAATCATCGAAGAGAAGCAGAGAATTACTAGAAGATTTCACCAAACAAATCATTTAAGATATAACTAAAGGAATTCAAATTCAAGTGTGCGTAATTGATGATTTCTGCTCGTTTTGTTATATGATTCCAGAAAATGTTGTAAATAAACCAGTAATGAACTCATTGTATGGTACAAGTTACAAAATCTTCGAAGGGAAGCATAGAATTACTAGAAGATTTCACCAAACAAATCATTTAAGATATAACTAAACGAAGTCAAATTCAAGTGTGCCTAATTGATGGTTTCTGCTCGTTTTGTTATATGATTCCAGAAAATGTTGTAAAAAAACTACTAATGAACTCATGGTATAGTACAAGATACAAAACCTTCGAAGGGAAGCAGAGAATTACTAGAAGATAACACCAAACAAATCATTTAAGATATAACTAGACGAAGTCAAATTCAAGTGTGCATAATTGATGGTTTCTGCTCATTTTGTTATATGATTCCAGAAAATGTTGCAAAAAAACTAGTAATGAACTCATGGTATAGTACAAGATACAAAATCTTCGAAGGGAAGCAGAGAATTACTAGAAGATATCACCAAACAGATCGTTTAAGATATAATTAAACGAAGTCAAATTCAAATGTGCCTAATTGATGGTTTCTACTCGTTTTGTTATAAGAATCCAGAAATTGCTGTAAATAAACTAGTAAGGAACTCATGATAATTATACCTCGTTCCTCACATCATCCATAAGAGAGACCATTTCTTCAAGAAAATCAGCAAATCCCTGTAGAGACGATGAAATTGACATACTGTGAGAAAATATCTCCAAGATGCATTTATAATTAAAATCTGGACATACTAAACAGACACCTACTTCGACATCCTTATCGTCGCCATCAGGATCATAAACCCCAGCATTATACATTGTCCTCTTCCTTTTATCCGATAGCACTGTTTAAGCCAAATAAACATTTAATCGGTAGTTCAATCAACAAACAGAAGAAAACGTACTTACAGTTAATAGAAGAAATTTGAAGAGAAAATATCACCTGAATAGGCTTCTTGAATTTGTTGGAATTTCTGCTTAGCCTCACCAAGCAGTGTTGGATTTTTAGTCCATTTATCTGGATGCCATTGCTGCATCAAGTTTAACACACATAAAATATAACTAAAAACAAATTCTCTGAACAATATATGGCTAACCAAGATTTAAAAATGATGGACAAACAAACCATAAAAGACACAATTAACAAGAAACAAGATTGTGAAGTTCGTAGCATACCATAGCAAGCTTACGGTAGGCACGTCGTATTTCTTCATCGGAAGAGTGAGCATGCACCCCAAGAATGCTGTAATAAGAAAGTAGCCCGTTACTCGACTCCATCTCTGGGGCAAAATTATCAAAATAATCAGTTTACAGAATTGATTTCTTATTCACGACCAAACTAAGCAAAGATATTTCTCTGAAATCTACTTTCTTGGGTTCGAATTGCTTGGAAAAATGCAGAACAATGGGGAAAGGCGGTAGATACATATATATACTAAAGGGGACGATAACTATTGATGGAATAAGGCGGTTTGTCATGTGGGGTCCTGTGGAGAAGCTGAAAAATATCTATACGACAAAAGCTTATGTGGAAGATGGTGAATGCAATCTAGAACGTTCTTCAGACAGTTTCTTGAATGTTCGGGGAACAGAATTTTCGTGGCCGCCTGTTAAGATATTTTGGCAAAAGATATTTTGTTGATTGCTCATGGTGTTAGCGAGATAATTAATTAGGTGATTTGAACAATAATAAAATTATTATTTGACAAATATCATTTCATAAAGATTAATGCTACGTTAGATCAAATATTAAATGAAATTAAATTATTTAATTTCACTTTTCATTTAACCCATCGCATAATAAGTAATATCACAAAAATTGAAATTATAATTCCAATAAAATTAAATAGCATTACTCTCTAATTAAAAAAAAAATAAAAGAAAAAAGGACGAAGCTGAAAAGTGCTTTTGCTAACTTCACTTGGGAAAAAAAAAAAATAAATAAATAAAATTATGATGTGTCCATTTTAAATTTTTCGTTCCATCCTACTGTACCAAATAAATAGTTTTCATCTTTCAATTCACAATGAAATTGTCTATAGACTCTCTACGAACCCATCAACATTTCGATTCGAGTCAAAGCGTTCCAAAGGTTCCAATCATTTAAATACAATTGGAAATCGAATAGAACAATTATACTATTTTTTTGGTTACAAAAGTAAAATTTTGAATAAAGGCTTTGAGGCCACAAATAATTTTTTTCTACTTAATTATATAAATTTAAAGATGAAGTTATGCTAATCAAATTACGAATTATAAAGGGACACGCCAATTTAAATAGAAAATAAAAGAAAGCAAACATTTAGCCCTTGTTTGAGCCCCATTCTTTGGAAAAATGTATTATTAAATAATATTTTAACATTATTTCAACAACACATATTTCAATAATATAATATTACATGCAAATCAAAAAATTTCCTTATTTTTTGACCACATAGTTCCCACCAATACACTATCAAAAAAATGCATTTTTCCATCAAAATGGGGCTCAAACAAGGGCTTAACGTTTTCGCATAAAACCCTATATAAACAACAAAAATCCTTCTATTCAAAACCTTAATGTCTTAGATCCTACAACTCCGAATATGCAAAACCATAATAAATTTATCCTTGTATTACTTAGCTTTGATTTTTCACCATGCCCAATTCACTGCTGGAAGCCGCATGTCATCAACTTCGGTGGCTAGATCTCTACCTATCGTCCTTCATGTGGGAACAAAAATTGAAGCACTTTATTGTTGGGTCCCTTTACCAGAAACAGCTCCTATCAATCAGGGATGGACTCAGAAAGTTCTTTCAGTGTGAGCGATATTAATAGAGGTCCAAAGTTCAACCTAGAGAGTTAAAACAAAATATTCCCTCCAATTCCAAAGAATCAATTTGAAAAACCAAAGAAGAATAGGCTTCTTACAAAGCAAGAGGGTGCATAGATAAAGAAGAATAGGCCTGCAAAGAAATATTGTACATATAAAAGGGTTAAAAAAGGGTACCAATATGGGGCCGTTTGGGAGTGATTTTTTATCCCAAAAATTTGATTTTTTGACCGTTATTTCATTATTCCAGCTGTAAAGTTTGACTTCGTCTCTCACAAGTGGCCTCCACTTTTCTCCTAACGATCAAAAAATTAATCTCAAAATCGCTGCCAAACGGGGGCTATATCAACATTATCAGTAAGAAAACTTTTAGGTTGGGAGGAAGTTTTAGAAAAGGAAAATGAAATAGAACATAATTGCACTTCAGGCTAAATTGGACTCAAGGAATTAGCATAGGATGCAGCAAATGAAAACCAATAATAATGCAATCTAACTCTTGAGGTTCTTTATGAAAGTCCAGCTATTGTCATTGTGAATGAAAGGCAACGATCACACGATGTAAGCCTCAAGAAACAAGAATAACTAGATCAAACATAAAGTAAAGTGTAGAAAATTAAAGTTGAACACCAAAGAATTATTTCGACCTAAGCCTCGGAGGTTCAATGAATGCTTCTAACACTTACATCCTCTGTTGAGCATCCAAAAAAATGATTATGCTCCATTGTACTAAGAACAAACCAAAATGGCAACAAAATTACAAATGTTTAGAGAGATGAGAACAAAACACTTATTCCTTAAAAAAT